TTTAGGCTCAAACCTCACCCGGCTATGCATCCACAAACTATCAAACTCAGCTCAGTTCTATGATCAACATTGAAACCCGTATGCAACTAGTCATGAACTAAAGATCTAATGTGACTTGAAAATGTCTAAGGTACACACACCATAAACATCAAGCAAACTATAATCCAGAATCGACCACAAGCAAAACAAGTATCAACAAGATTAAAAACCATGCTAAGGCAGACTATTCACAAAAGAACCAACAAAGTAATCACCAAAAAAGAACTAAATATAAAAACAGTTAAAATACTGAAATTAAAAGACAAAAAATAATTTGCAATAGACAAAGGTAAACTAAGGTAGGCTCCCTATACTTCCCTCTATGGGGTCTGGTCATCATCATCTTTAGGGGCTGCTCCACCATCATCGGCTCCGTCTGCATCAGCAGCTCCACTCCCCCAAACTTAGGAGCCTGGTCCCCAGGCCAACCAGTATATGCTTGAAAGTCCTAGTAACCAAGAGTGGTCGCGGAGTATAAGCATGAACAAGAATGGTGAGCATAAAAATGTATACACAGTGATGACCAAGCAACTATAACACACTGGAGAATATCCTTAGACCAAAATTAAGCACAACATGCATGCACACGGAAATGGATCATGACAATGCAACACAAACAGAACACAAAGAAACATGAATGAAAATAGCTAAATACAAGGTATCAGGAATGTTTTGCGCCGGGCTCAGAACAGATGCGCCGGGCTTCATATCAGTAAAACTAAACGAGGTCCAAAATCTGATATCGCGCCGGGCGTGCGTTTAAGAGCGCCCGGCGTGGTGGTTTCATAGACCGAAAAAATGAGTATTATGCCGGGCGCAAAAGAGTCACGCCCGGCGCGTAGTCACTTTAAAAGGTCAATTTGCCCAGGTTTTAAATTAGGATCAGGCCTTATTTCCACCTAGACACAGAATTGCCTCATTCCTCACATTCCAAACAAAATGTACCCTATATTTACCCATTCAAACATGATTCTAACAACTAACACATAACACAAACAACATATACCACAAAACATATAACACAAAACACAACACATAATACAAAACAACACTTATAACACAGAACAACATGCAACAAAAATCTAAAACACAGTTCAGATCTCTGGGTTGCCTCCCAGGAAGCGCTTGTTTACTGTCCCGAGCCTGACAGTGACCAACTTGAAGTGCTCTACTCTCCTTCTCCTCCTGTTGCTCTTGTTCCTCCTTGCTTTGTGCTCAATCTGAGGATTGCTCAGCAACTGCTCAGAGGAATTGGTCCATCTAGTTCACAGTACCTTGCATACAAGAGAAAGCAGAGGACTAGAGCGCACAGGTTAGCTTCAACAATTCATTGCCAGCACACAAATAAAAATAACAATAAAAATAAAAGAATAAGTCACAAATAGCTACAAATACTAAATCGCCATTCTAATCCCCAGCAACGCGCCAAAAACTTGTTGAAATTTCCGTTGAAACACTTTTGTTAATATTTGTAAATTCGTTTAATTCTATTAACGGTCTCAAACATGGCAAGTATACCAGCCGTTTAAGTAGTAAAAATATCGTATCCACAGGGATTAGAAGGTAATATAAGCATTTATTGACTATTCGTGACTAAAGAATAATTCCAATTTCATAGTTTGTGCAGTGAATTCAAAGTTGTGACTATTGGAATGAAAGCTGTAAATAAATATTGTTTTGTGAGTGGAAAAGGTAAGGAATGGTATTGTGGTATTGTGAGGTTGTGGGGGTCAGATTTCACCAAACGTAACACTAATGTATCCTTAATCTCTTGTTGAATTCATTGCTTAGTCAACCCAAGAGTTTACTCAAACCTAATCCCTTAGAGAAAGAGCCTAGATGCGGATATTGAATATCAATCCCTTGAGTACCCAATATCTACACCCGCATTACGGGCTAGGGTTTAAGACTACTAATGGGTCAAGCTCTATCCCTAGATACAATCACCACTAGGCATATGTTTCAGAACTAGTTTCAAAGGTTATTTTCCAATACCCATGGAACCTTAAATCATGCAAAGGGTGATCAATCCAAAGCAAGCATTAAGAATAGAAACAAACACAACAAAGAATAAAACAACATGTATATATATCATTAAAACCGTAAAGATTACAATAGAGTACGTTGGTTACATCTAACCCCACAAAATGGGTGAAACCACTCACAACAAAGAGGGCAAATACAAAATAGAGATGGAAGAGGAAGTGAAGAACCGAAGGAAAGATCCGCACACGGACGATCCCAAGCCCTGGGAATCCCTTCCGCAGCTCCTGGAGGCGCCCAATGTGAGAATGGGGGAGAAGTCCCCGAAAATGCCTTCAAATACGAGCTTGGGGAGACAGATTAGGGTTCATGCGCCCGGCGCATAAGTCTTCGCGCCCGGCGCATGGCCTTCCAATTGCCCTCTGTCTTCAGGACACGCCCGGCGCAATTCATATTGCGCCCGGCGCAATAGCTTCCAGAGGTGAGATGCTCTGTTTTGCTTGCCCGGCGCGGATCACCTTGCGCCCGGCGCATAACCTCTTCTTTGCTCCTTAGCTCCTTTAGTTTCCAATCCTATAGATCTTCAATCCTCAAGTCCCTAGCTCAATACTTGCACAAAAAATGAGGTGTATTAAGGTATTGTTAGCTAAATTTGGGTTAGTTATATCTGCACACAAAAAGAACCAAAAAGAGAACAATTATATTGCAATGGTTCAGAGGATGAGTGAAATTCGTTCAATAAGTCTCATCCAAAAAGAGGTAAAATTGAGACTTAACAAACGACTTGTTCTGCTTGCACTCGTTATGTTTTCTTTTTTGGTTTATAACTTTTTTACGTCGGATCTTGGCAATGTCTGACGTAAATTTACGTCAGATTTCACAACCGACGTAAATTTACGTCTCCCACTTTAACGTCGGATTTTTTCTGACATAAAAAACTAAAATAATCGACATAAATTACCTCTTTTGTACTAGTGCACGAACTCAAAAAACACAACAAGTACACCAGTCGTTCAAGTAATATATATAAGATCATATCCACATGGACTAGATAAGGTAAAATAAGCATTTAATGACTATTAGTGACTAAAGAATGATTCCATTATATAATTTGTTATGCATATGGAAATAACTGTTATAAACTACTTTAAAAACTACTTTTAAAGGATAGTTTGTGTGTATGGAAGGAATAAGAAATGGTCTTCTGGAATTGTGAGATTGTGAGGGGTTAGACTTCACTGAACTACACTCTTATAAATTAATTCTTCTTTTGTTCAAACATTATTTAGTCAATCCATAAGTATACTCAAACTTAATTCCTTAGAGAAAGAGCCTAAGAACATATATTAAATATCAATCCCTTGAGTATCCAATATATGAACCTGCATTAATAACTAGGGTTTGAGACTACTAATGGGTCAAGCTCCATTCCTAGATACAATTTCCATTATATATTTTGTTCCAAAGCTAGTTTTAAGGGTTATTTTCCAATACCCAATGAACCATATATCAAGCAATGGGAAATCAATCCAAAGCAAGCAGTAAAAGTAGAAACACAATACAACAATGAATGAAATAAGCATTTATCATTGATAGGATAGATAATACATAAGAGTTTAGTTGGCTACATCTAACCCCACAAAAAAATGGGTTAAACCACTTAAAACTATGAGGGCAAATTAAAAATAGAGATGGAAGAGAAGATGGAAGAGCCAAAGAAAAGACCCACACACGGTATGGTTCCAAGCACCGAGAATCCCTTCCACAGCTCCTAGAAATCACTCCTTATATGAATGAGGAAAAAACCCTTCAAAATGTGTTCAAATACGAGTTAGATGAGTCAGGATATGGCTTATGCGCTCGATGCAATATAATACAACGCAATGTCTTATAGAAAGTTGTTGCTCTTTGTCTTGAATCACACTCAACACAGGTGTTTATGTGCCTAACGTGATAATGAAATTCATAGAGTGGTAATCTTTGTCTTGAGCACGCCTAGTGCAATAACGCACAAGCCCAACGCAAGTTACTTTCTCCTACTCCTTAGCTCTTCATTTTTTACTCTTTCAAGCTCCAATCCCACATGGATCCTCAACATCAAACTCTTCTACTCAATACCTACACAAAAAAATGAAGTATATCAAGTTATTGTTAAATGATTTTTGAGTTAACTATATATGCATAAAAATTGAATAAAAAAGAACTAATATTATGCAAAATTGAATGTAGGAGTTGAATTTGTGCAATAATTTGTATAAAAGAAATAAGTAGAAATGGGACTTAACTATGGTGCCTATTGATATTAGAGTTTACGTATGCAGCTCTATTTATTGTTTTTCATGCTTTCGTGTTTTGTCATTATTGTGCTTGGATTTGTAGAGAAAGAAAGAAAAAAAACGACAAGGGGTGCGGAGCGAAAGTGCTGGGGAATCAGTTCTGAAAATCCAATTGGAATTACGTTGATTCATGTCATGGTTATGTTGAAAATCGTTACTACTCTTGTATTGGTGGTAGTAATGATAGCGTAGCTTCATGTCGACATTATTCACAAGATCATAAACAAAGATTGAGATTGAAGATGTTGTCCTCACTAGGAGTAAACGTATGAAAGATATAAAAACTAGTAGATGAATGATGAAAAAGCTTGTAAACAAAATGTCTAAGTTGATGTATGAGTATTTGTCTATATTCTTTACACTTACTCATTTCTCAATGGCTACACAATTTGCTAATTAAAACAGTAAATTTAAGACCAAGTGTTAACGTTCTTGTTAAATATCCCAAATTGACAACAACAAAAAAAGGAGATTATAATAGTATATATGAACGAAAAAACAATCTTCATTTTATAAAATTACTCCTTATGAGATTTTAGAGATATTATAACTAACTGGAAAAAGATTATAACTCCATGTAAAGTTGGTAAATGATTTTAATTAAATCAGTGTGGGAGAAAAATGGAGCGACTATTGTGTGATAGTCACACGACAAATAACATAAATCACATGCACTTAATTAATTTTCTTGTGAAATGCAGCAAAGGAACAATTAATGATATAAAATCTATCGATGTTTCTGGTCTTGCTAATAGTAGAAACATATTACCTTAAATAAATAACTTCAAAAATGTGGAAGAGGTGGAAGAAAAACATGTTCAAGTCATCACCTTCATCGACAATAAATGAAGAAGCATTAAAGTTTCAGTTTAACATTGACGGTGAAAGAACACATATGTATTGATCTGTTTGTGTAGTGCATTATATTTTGCTTAAAAGAAAGATACCCAGTGTCCAAAAAATTGTTAGTTGAAGCAAAGAAATTTACTACTTTGTTTATCTTTAATCACATTGGTTAGTAATTAAATCTGATAGAAAAATCACATTATGATACGGAAATTAACTATCCAACAATTACGATCGTTTTGCAACACATTGTAGTGTGCTTTTTGTTTGTTGGAGAAGGTGTTGTTGGACCATCTCTTATTGCAGGTGTTTGGTTTGGAATTCAAACACTGTTAAATACCATATTCTTAATGCATATAGGTTTGATGAAAGGAATGCAACAGAGACTTACCCTTAATTTAACACTTTGTTTTACAAATCCTTATAGTGCTTTCACCTCTTATGTCTTGATAACTTTTCATTTATCAATATAACACAAATTTTCATTTATTAATACAACACAATGGGACCCTCATACATATAACACCAAGTACCAGAGAGTTTATTTTCTTGTATTTAAATGCAAGAAAAACATTTTTTTTCTTCACTTATAACTAGTTCGAAATTTCAATCTTATCATAACGCTGAAGTTGATGAAAATAATGGAGTTAATATAATACTTTTACAATGCCGTGAGTTTTCGTTAATAATTATTAATTGCTGATTTCATAATTAACAAATACTCCTATTTAAGAATTTATGTAACAAATATCTCAATAAATTTAACAGTTTTTATATAGGTAAATATAATATTATAAGAAAAATTGCTTAAAATAGTGTCACAAAGAAAAAAAAATTGTTTCACACTAATTAAGAAACTTAGTTTACATCATTTAATTTTGTTAATCTTATTCAAAACTAACTTATTTTTCAAAATTTCCCTTTCTTAAAACTTGATATATATTCCCTCTATTTTCTATTATAAACAAAAAATAACTAATTTTATGCATATTAAAAAAGTCATTAACTATTTGCATTAAATTTTAATACATTCATACTATTTTTCTTAAACTATTCTTGTTATAAATGTTAAAAGAAATAGTGCAATTAAAAGGTCATACATTAAAGAAGAAATATTTTAGAAAAAATATCATTAAATAAAATAAAAAGTAGTTAAATTTACTTATATTTAAAAATAAAAAAAAATATATTTTTTTTTACTTATAACAGAGAAACATTAAAAATAGAATCTCAATTAAATGAAGGAGAACTTTGAAATGATAACATTAAATAAAATGAAATAAATTGAAATTAATAAATATGATTTTTTTTTTTTACTTTTGCTTAAAACTGGGGGAGTAAGTGTTTAAAAGGACCAAACTCATTCAAATATAAAAAGGTAAAAATAAAAAATAAGTATTTTAATGCATAAAAGATTAAAATAATTATAAAAACAAGATAAAAGACAAAAATAAAATTTAGTCTATAAAATATTTAATTATGATAACAACTCACCAAACAAAAATTTTCTTCTTCCGAGACTTTTATTGTTGTAGATCCCTCTCCCCTAATTCTTTCCATTCTATCAACGAAGAATCAATAAAAATTCTTAAATTAAAATCGACTAATTGTTTTGGATAGCACTAATTAATTTTCTTGATTTCAAAATATATCAAAACCTTGTATAAATTTCTTTAATTAGACATCCCTAAATACATGAAAACCTCTCCTACTTAGGACTGGCTTCTGCAATTCCTCCCTCCCCTTTTTCTTTATAATAATCTCCTACGGTCCTTAATTTTGGAAAAAGACTTGCATTTGCTAGAAATATATTCGAGGACTAGATAGTTCCTAAAGTAGACAATATCAGTTATACTTTTTACAATCATTTCAATAACAACTAGCCAAGTATGAATTTTTCAATAATTTCCCGTGCTATAACATAAATTTAAACTTATGTACATATCCGTACTAATTTTTTGTTTTTTTTTACATTAGTATTAATATGATGTATTGACTAAAAGGTGTGATTAATTTTTAGCAAGAATTGAATGTGTAGATAAGATAAGTATTCTCTGTTTAATATAGTTTATTTCATGTAAAATAATAATACCATCAATTATTAATCAATAATTAAATATTAAAACGCAATTACGTGTGTGGAAATCTTATACTGATCCTTGTTCATCATAAAAGGAAATAAGAAAAAAAGACTTACTGATCATTGCCGTAAGAGATACTGCATCTCAACCTTCGTTTTCTATAAACAGTACCCAAAATAATTTAACAACGTCTCTTCAAAACAATAACAAAATCAGATGAAGGAAGTAGAATATAATGGTTTATAAGTAGATTCTGAAGATTTGTTTTGCTAGTTTATTTCAGCTACATATGAACAAGTTTTGTCTTTAGTGCTCGTTTTAATTAGTTTGAAAGCGGTTCAATATTGTTTACCCCTATTTAACAAAATCATAGTTGCCAACTAGCAAACCTTATGTACCCTTTATTAAAATTATGGTTTCCATCACTGAATTATGTTTTTCTGGTCAATGAACTGTGATTGTCAATGTCAAATTTCTCAAACGAATGTGATAATAGCCTCACTAATAAGTTAACAATTGACGCTGTTAATTAAAACGACTAATAATCAAAAATTGTTAGTAGAAATGATTTAACACCAATAATCGAGGTTTAGTATTTTCAACTTAGATATAAAATTGTGATTATAAGTACTATTTTATTCTTATAAATTAATACTGTTAAATATACATTCTTATTATAAAAAAAAAAAGACTAATGAAATGATCTCATGTGCCCTAATCAAAACTATAACATGAGAAACACGACTAGCCAGCAGTGGTATTTCCCTGCAGAGAAGCTAAATAGTTTGCTGCCACAAATTTAGTCCACGAAAGAAGAAAATGAATAAATAGTCAGTAACATTGCATATTTACTTACATAAATAATTGGATCCTTATTATTGTCCATAATCTTGATTGATTTTTCTGAGTTTGTTTTTGCACAAGTGCCCTACGCAACTTTGACTAGAAGATATCAGTTTGATGATCGAGGGCTATCACTCTAACGAAGATGCTTTCCTTGCTGTGTCCAAAACGACAAAATGAATCATTGGGTATAGCCCAATTTAAGTGGGAAGCTTATAGATTTATTTATTTATCCTTAAGCAAGGAACATATATATATTTTTTTTCTGAAAGGTTTGCGTATGCATGTTGCAATTCCCCTACAAATCTAGTTGCCAGTGCTGCAATAAATTCTATATTTCTATTTGTAGCAATTTACTCACTTTATGTTATGGAATTCTATCTTAACATGTGACATGATATGCCTTTAATTGTGATAGGATCCTATGTGTATATATTTTTTTAATATGATCAACTCTTATGTTATTTTTATAATGAGCTTCATTTGTTTTTTAAATCAACTTTGTCTTGGTATGTCTATATATATATAAAAAATTTATATCATTTAAAAATTGAAATTAAATATAATTTATAAATTTTATTCTTTTTTAATTTAGACATTTTCTCAAAAATAGAATTATAACAGCTTAATGAATATTAAAATAAATAATACTTTGGACACGATCATTCTAAAGATATTATATTAATTATATAATTTTTAAATTTTTTAAAAATTTGAAAATTTATTTTATATATTAAAAACTTTTAATTTAATAATTAATTTTTTTAAAATTCAACATACTAATATATAATTTTACTTTTACAATAATTTGATCCCTCCTCCCTCTCTCTATATATATAACCAATTTTGTTAATATAAACCTTCAATTATAATTGATGTTAAAGAAATAAAAATAAAATTTATTAGAAACTGTATTTGTTTTAATGATAATAATAAAGCTTTATATTTTTTAAACTTTTGTTTCGTGAATAACAACATTTATCAAGAGCATTTTTCAATAAAAGAATAGCAGAGCCATGTATATTTAATTAGAATATATTATAAGAAATTATAACATTATTTTTGTGTAAATGATGTACGCTTGTCCACTGGTCAATCACAGATGATAAGTTATTTAGTTTTTTTTTTTTTACTCATACGTCATTTTTTTTTGCAGAAATATTCGTGTGGTACTTTCGGTTGCAATTCTATGAAATATTTAAAAAAAAAAATTATACATATTTTACTGCAGCAAATTTTCGTCCACAAAAGAAGAAAATGATTAATAGTTAGTAACATGTTTCTATTTATTACTTATTTATAGAATCGGATCCATAATTTGTCCATATTATTGATTGTTTTCTCTCAGTTTGTTTTGATTTTCTCCAAGTGCCTACCATGCAAATTTGACTTAAGATATCAATTTCATGCTACTTCAATTAAGATCCTTTTCTTATATCGGAAACGACAAAATGAATCGTTGTATACCCCAGTTTTTTTTTCTTGGATCCATGGACATAGTTTTCACCAATTTTAAGATAGGGTGTGAATTATCTTTATGGATTCAAAAAAACACCAAATTTATTTTTAAAAAAATTCACGTTGCACCATTTCCA